GGCGGAGTTGCACAACACCAACAAAGGTCTTCGAAACAACAGAGAGGCAGCTCTCGTTCAAAGTGAGGAGCTCCGGACTTCGTTGAGAACAGTCACAACAAAGTGGCAAACGGCGTGCTCTGAGCTGGAAAAATGCAAGCAAGACAAGAACGAAACCCATGCGGAAGTGATTGATTTGACGATCCGGCTGAGCGAAGCCATGGCCGAGCACAATTGCCTTCGAGCTGAGTTGATCGCAGCAGAACGCACTTTGAGCGAACTCCAGCAACAAAATGAAGAGCAAAACATAGAGGTAAGGATCTCTACCCGGCTGACCAGGACACTGCTAACACCAAGTAGTTGATGAACACGAATGCTCGTCTCTCGAGTCTACAGAGGGATCATGACCATGAGATACAGAGAAGTCTTGAGATTGACGATGAAATGGCGAGGACCAAAGCTCAGGACTTGCAATTACGACGAGATCTCGAGCAATCCCGTGAAGACACAGTTACAGCGGTCACGGCTCAGCAACAGTTGCGAATCCAGATAGGAGAACTCGAACACAGATTGACTGGGGCAGACGATACCGTTCGACAGCTCAAAGAGACCTTGAAGTCCCTGCACGAGGCTACAGCAGAGCTGGAGTCTCTAAGAAAGCAACAATCCTCTCTGGAGCACCTCAAAGAGGAGTCTGCATCTCAGATCCAGCAGATTGCGAACAAGTCCAAGGACATTGAAATACTCCAGAAACAGCTCCAGAGCCTGCGAGATAGATCTACCGATCTCGAAGAACAGGCGAGAGAAAAGGACCGATTCGCCGAGGAAAACATTGGCCTCTACAATGACTTGAAGGACTTGAGGGCACAGATTTCTGAGAACAAGGATCTCCAGGAGAAACTCGTGCAAAAAATCACCAAGATTGCTGTGCTCGAACTTGCTCTTGCTGCAGCTCAGATTCAAGTGGCACAACTCGGCGAGCTAGAAAGAGAAAAGTCTTCCCTCAAGGAGACCATCAAGGCTCTTACAACGGACCTTGAACGATCGAAGGAGCAGTGCGCTCAGATTGCTCTCTTGCAGGAGACCGTAACACAGCGACACAGTCAAATCACCGAACTGAGAAAGGACCTGGCGTCGTTCAGCAATCAAGCCGACGAACTCAAGGTTCTTCGAGCCGAAGCTCAGGAGAAAGGGGAGAGGTTAGCAGCCATGCAACAGCAAATCCTTACTCTCGAAGGCGCCGTGTCCGATGCCACACTTGATGGTAATGAGGCAGAACCCAGTCAGCCGCAACGCAGAGTCGCAGATCGGTCCGGAGGTGCAAAAGATTCCCATCACAACCAATCGCCCCACGCACATCCGCGTTCCAATGGAGGCGATGTCCAATATCCCTTCGGCAACAGTGCTTTGCCCTTGAGTCAGTCGGATCTAGTCACTGCTGCCATACAAATTGTACCCGAGACACAGCTGGAAGTCCAACAGTCCCTACCAGTGAATTCAGATAGCTTTATACTATCTGCAAGCCAGGGCCAGGAAGATAGTAGTGCCTCAGACCTTACTCCAGTTCCGAGTGATCACGGGGAGGCTGATCTCGACGACGTGGTTAACCAAGGCTTTGGTCGCAGTATGAGGCAGTACAACCGTGGTGAAACGCAAGTCTGGCCGAGAGGATCTAGCGGTATCAACCGCCATGAGGAGAGTGCCGAGCGGCCCCCGTCCAGCTCATACGGGTCGCTGAGTGAACAAATGCTTCTGGATCAAGTCAGCGAAAGTGGATCTCAAGGTCCGGACAGTGTCGACACGGTTCAGATCCAACCGACCTTTGCCATGCCTGGAAATAGGGTGATGGCGAAGCAAGGACCGAGTCCCAGGAGATTGAGAAGCGAGCTTCGAGATTACAGCCATCGGTCCACTGCATCTCCTGGGCCTAGCGTCGAGTTTCAAGGCAATCGAGCATCTACACCTGTCATCACACGTGAGCGTGAGAGATATCGACCCAATTCGGCAGCCAAACGTCGAGTAGAGCCCGAGAATGATGAGGTCAAACTCCCCACAGAGAACCCCAAGCGTCTCAAGCGAACAGCTGCCAACCTCGAGGCGCGGAAGTTACAGCCCACCACGCCGAAGCAGAGAGTGGAAAAGTCTTCATCCCGAGGTGCCGTCAGTTTCCGCAAGAGCAGCGGTGGTGGCGGCAATAGCAGCAGCATCGTGGGAACGAATGCTCCGGGTCCTGGCAAGAGTAAGCGATTGAATCGACCTGCTCGAAAAGGCTCTCGGCAAGACAAGTACGCCACGCGGTTCGGCACTGAGACTTGATGCGAAGCAAAATCGTCGATGGGGAAGGATGTGCGAGTTTCTAGGGACAGAGAGCAAGCTACTGACAAAGAAAAGTGATGACAAAAGAGAGTCTGAGCGACGATATTTTGCAAGAAAGAAAGAAAGAAAGAAAGGGAGAAAACGAGACCAAGAAAAAAGACCTCAAGTGGAATATACACCAGCGATTTGTATGTACGCAACCACCATTGTTTCCTCGTTTTGCGGCCTGGGGATGGGAGGATCATGTAGCGGGATTTTCGAGGAGCTTGCAGCGATGGTCAGAGAGAATCATGGTATGAGGTACGTGGAGGTCTTTCCGTGTCAGACTCTGTATGGTACTGTAGAGGGCTATATATGTACCTCGTACTGCATGTATATACAAGCAAATATGACTAGTCAAGAGATATGTTTTGTATTAGGACAGGTCTATCTATCCATCCGTACTTGGTATGCAGCAAGCCGTCTATCGTCATGATACCTACAGAGTGACCAGAGGACAGTAACAGTGGACAGTTGACGCATCAGAACGTGGCTGGATATCAATAGACAGCTAGCATTCCATCGCATCCTATTGTATGACATGAGATACAAGGCGAGGCGAGAGCAGACTCTGTGACTGACCTGTGCCTGTTCGTTCCAGTATCACCTCGTCGTTTCCTTACTTCTCTTCCCTACTTCTCGATCTGGCCGTTTCCTCTTTCAAAAAAAAAAAAAAACCAAACCTCATACTTGGTACACATCAGCTCAACTCAACTCGGCTCGATGACCAGTGGCACAAGCGCCATATAGACTCGCCACACGTTTGAGCTGTCCGCTACCTGCTGCCTGCTGGTTGCTGCGGGTCCACGCAACGACATACAAGACCATACCAACACCAACACGGTCAAGGTGGCTGGTCTCTTGGCGGGTCGCTTCGGTTCGATTCGGCTTTTCCAACTCAACGACAATAATCCCTCGACACTTTTCCTTGTATCATGCTGCTTGTCCGTCCGTCCGTCTGTGATGATGACCGATGGTGCGGAAAGACGTGCTCGGTCGGCCTGACCTCGATTTGAGCTGGTGGGTTTCCCATTGTCGGCGGAGAGTGGAGATCAGGAAAGTGGGAGTGCGAGAGCGCGAGCGAGAGCCGTGTTTTTGCTTTTGTTGATCCGGGGTTTGGGTTTCGGCCGGATGATCAGAGCCAGCGTTGTTCACGTAGATGCAGGCGAGATCAGAGGCTGTGGGAGCTGGTGTTGAGACTGCCATGTGCCGTGCTGGCGGTATTCCAGTCCTTGTCGCCCATCTTAAGCTTGAAGCCGCGCTGCAAGCAACGTTGGGACCTCGGGAGACTTCCACTGCTGCTGTTGCACCACACAACACATCTCAACTTCTCCCTCCTCTTTCACTTTTTCTTCCCCCCTCCCCCCTCCATCCTCCCAATCCTATTCATCCCATATCCATATCATTTCCCATTCAAATAGCAAAGTATCCCGAATCTTCTCGGACCGTTTACTTCCCGCGCTTCTGCTCCAAAAACAGCACCTGCCGCTTGACCACGGGGTCGTACTTCATCATGCTCAGCGGCCTCGACGTGCGCGGCCGCACCATCGTGCGGTAATACCCCGTCAGGGCCATGGAGATTAGTCGGACCGCGATCGTGCGGGATTTGGCTGTTCAGACGGGAATCACGGAGTGTTAGTTTCGAGGGAAGAATTGTAGAGCGAGAGAGGAGGGGGATGGTTGGGTAGGTTGGGGAGGACAACAAAAAAAAAAGACAAGAAAGGAAATACACCCAGGGACTGCATTGGGACAGAGACAGTCAAAACGTACCTTTTTTGGCCATTGCGCGAGGAGGAGAATTGCTGCGTCTAGAGGGATTGATTGAACTAAAGGGTCCGGGAGATTCGAATTGATAGGGAACACTGCGAGGGAGCGAGTGAACGAGACGAGACGAATTGGCAACGCTGTCAGGTGAAGTGACCAAGTGACCAAGTGACCAAGGTACAATCGACAGCAAATAATCTGGGGAGCTCCGAGAATGGGATCTTCGAGGTGCCAATCGAGCAAGTAGCCGCCAAGCTTGCACTAATTGCTTTTCAGTCCACCGTATCGTGTCGTCTCTGCGCTCATGTCTCCTCCGGTGGAGTGTTTAAAAGTGCCCATGTCGCTACCTACTCGCCATGTACCTCGTATTGCTCGTACATGTACATGAGTCTTGGTTGCCACGCTTCCGTTGACAAAGTGCTACGAATCATTGATATAGACTGTGAAGAGTGTATGCTTTGCTAACGAGGCTGGCCATCAAGAACCCCTTGCAGCCAGACATTCTATTGTGATGCATCTACAACATCAAGCATGCCCAAGTACAACTAAAGGTCAGATGATATGGCTGCTCCGCAGCAACGACTGTAATGCTTCCCTCCGCTATGGATAATGAACTATCAGGCAGAATTCAAGGTAGCGCCAGGCTCGTCCTCTCTGTCGAGGACAACGTGAATCCTGCAATGCAAGTCACAGATGCAGAAACCTCCGGATTTTAGGCCATCGTGTGTCGTCGCGTCGTGTCATTTTCCTTGTTTCCTGACCCAGCTTTTTATAACCCGCGATATGCATGATATGCAACATAAGGAATGCTATTCACAGCTCGGCAAGAGAGGTGCTGGTAGGTTAGAAAGGTCTTCGGCCGCACTCGGACCGGTCGGCATCGAGGGGACATGATTCATTGATCATTGCAATAGTGGATCCTGGAAACCTGTCAGCGTTCCCGTGGTCAAACACACAATCTCTCCAACACTTACCCTGTAGTGCTTTTGACTGTTGGCCTGCTTCTCCAGCTTGGCCTGATACCGATTCTGCGCCCGCCTCTCTCTCTGTCTGGCTCTGATCTCTTCAGAGCGGACGTCTCGTCTCTGCTGGTTCGTAGCACCAAGCATACCAGCCTCTCCCCGTCTCATGAGACTGTTTCGCGGAGGCGTGGCTGGAAGATCGACCTCGTCCATGTCTGCGTCTTCTGAGCTTCCTTCTTCTATCAATCTCTGAGCACGCTCCATTCGCTCCGCGGCCGTAGGATAGTTGTGCAGATTTTGGCGGTAATATTTCCTCAAGCTTCGGTGGCCTGCCACTCTGCCACTGGGCAGATGCATTTCATGTTCGTCATAGAACACTGCATTAGTATGGTTGTGTGCGTGCGAGTGCCAGCCGTCTGCGTTCCGGTGTGGTCTCGGGTCAGTGTTGGAGTGATGTCTGTGCAAGGGAAGTCGTTGATAGGACAGTGTTCGATCATCATTTGGGACAGATGCAAGTTCGTTGGTATCGAGCGAGGAAAAGGACGAATCAGTTTCCCAGCCGTCGTCTACACCGTCTTCTCCTGAACCCTCCAATTTGACGCCACCGTTCTGTCCTGCCTTGACTCCTTCCATTGCTCCACCAAAATCCTCTTCGCCGTCGTCTGAATAGGTGCTGGAAAAGTCATAGAACTGGCCCACCTCGACCAGTTCTTCATCCGTCTCAAAGGCAATCTTGCAATGAGCCTTGTCTCTCATGTGTGTCTGCACACCTTCTGCATTCCCTCTCAGTTTGTGGCAGTATAGGCACTCGAAATTTTGGTGAACCTTCGCTTGCATATACCGGATCAGACCTTCCAGGTCGACGAGAAAGTTCTGTTCGGGGATGAAGAGCCCGTGGATCTTGGTCATGTGCATGACGCTGAGTTTCAGATTGGGAGAGTCATAGTTACAGAACAGACACCTTGAGATGGGCATAGACGGAACTTCGGCCTTTTCTGGTGACATGGGATGGTCCCCCCGCGGTTCCGTCCCTGGTTGAGGGTTCGAGGGTCTCCGTGGGATTTCAGGCATGTCTTGGATGGAGGTCTCTTTTATCCCTGCAACAACCTGCTCGAACTCTGCCTCTGCTGTAGGATCTCGAGGTTCAGAGTCTGGTATGGACTCCAGCGCGGAGAATGACCGCCGGCCGTCAGACCCAGTTATAGAACTTGCGTCTCGTGTTGAGCCTCTACTCTCTCTTGTCCTGTGTGCTTTGCTTGACAGGTGGTTCTGGTATGCATTTTCACTGTAGTATGTCTTTTGACAGGTGGCGCACACTTTTGCATAGGCTGCTTGGGCGGCGGCTGCGTTGTTGGTAGCCTGAGCAGCCAAAACTTTCTCGTTGTAATCTTCAGACGAGACTGCGGGTAACTCAGCCAGCCTGCGCTTCAGGTTGTATCTGTGCCAGTCACTCCGCATATGAGTCCGTTGGACATCACTGCTGCGGAAGGCGACCGCACACGAATTGCAGGTGTAGGGATGGGTCTGTGAGATGTCGGCGGGGGCCACTGTCGCCATGGCGGCACGGTAGGAGGTGGAGGAGGAGGGGTAGGAAGACGAAGAAGACGAGGAAGACGAGGAAAGGGAGAGTCAGGCAGAGGAGGTGGGTTTGTGCGTTTCGAAACCCTAGAGTTGTTCGAGTGGTGAGGGAGTGGGATGGTTGCAGGTTTTAAGGATGAAGGCATGCAGGGTAGCGAAATGCTCGCTCGCTCGGCCAGTGGCGGGCTGGATCCGGTGGTGTAACTACAGAGAAATGACCAGGAACAGAGGGAAAAGTTGAGTGGAGAAATTTACACAAATTTGTGCGGATGGTTGGTTTTGTGACGTACGAAGACGTTTTTGTAGTGGGTGCTGGTGGGCAGGCAAGGCAGGGGAGCCAGCCTTTCCACGGAGTATGGAAAGCCTCCACCTCGTTAGGCTCAGGGATAGGCTTTTTGCGAGGGGGGAACCAGGGAGAGATACCGATGGTCAGCCGCGGCCTTCCATGACTTCTGGGTTTCCTATTTCAGAGACGGAAATGAGCGGTTTGTCTGTCGAATGCTGCTCGTGGTTCAGATAACGATCGACGAGGGCCGCCTCTGTTCTCGGTTCTCGTCTCGAGGCGATAAGTCAAACTTCGTCTAGATCAAAAGAGCAATCAAGCGCATGACAATAAACAGCCCAGTCAGGAAGTAGAGTTTCCGTGGATCGCGCAATGTCGGGTTCCTATTGCATTGTATTTTTCATCGTAGCCAAAAATCAGTCTGAGGGGCGGACGAGGCCAATTCTATCTATCCTTCTATCTGGGTATCACAATCATTTCTCATCAACGTCTGATGCGCCACCAATACCAAGTACCTTGTCCCTAAGCTGCTGCAGCCTCGTGCATTTTGCGCCAGACCCCTGAAAAGCCTTCTGGAAACCTTCCAACGCCACCCTCCATTACAAAACCCTGGTAGGCTGACAAATGCCGCCCACGTCAATAATTAGCTAACGCCCCTCCAAGCTTTGCTTCAAAACAAGCATAAGGCCCCTGCCCCTAGCACCATAACCCCTCCGAGTGGATGAAAACTCCGTATCTGACCTGCAAGATTCACTGCAGGCGGCGTGCCTGATGTTGTAGCGGATGCTGAAATCGTTGCTGTTCCACTCAACACTTGACTTGATGCTGTCGTGGATGTACTTTGGTGTGAGCTGACCGTACTGGTCCTGCTGCTCCTGGTCTCGCTGCTTGAGAGCGAGGACGACCGAAGTGACGAAGAAAGTGACGTTGTAGACGAACCCGAGCCTAAGACAGATGTGCGGTCGGAGTTAGTTGTGGCGATCGTGCTACTTGCAGTTGAGCTCCCAACAACAACCCCAGAGCTTGATAGGGTGGTCTGCGACTGGGAAGTGATCAGGCTAATAATAAAAGAGGAGCTGCTGCTTGGGTTGGATGCAGAGCTGGACAAAGATGTGGTTATTGACCCCGTTTCGCCGGAAATAACGGTTGTGGACGCCGTGGCAGAGACGGGGGTGGACACTGAGCTCGAACCCGAAGTGGGGATGAAACCGAGGGGTGTTGAGGTAGAAATTGTCATGAACGACGTGTTTGTGGTCTCAGAGGCTTCCGATGCTGTAGCGCTGGAGCTCTGTGGAGCTGAAGCTGCGGAGCTCGGGCCTTCGGATGGTGCTGAGGCCGAATTCGAAGATACTGAGCTCACCAATGCGGAGCCTGATGCGGTTGTGATTGACGATCCTTGTACCGTCGCAGGCTGAGAGGTTGGCTCAGAAATGAGGCTGGTGCTGGTAATTGGAAAGCCCTGACTGTCGTAACTTGTTGGTATTGTTGGCGCCGCAGGGTTGATGGTAATGATGGTAGGAAAGCCTTGTCCGTCATAAGAAGTCACAACCTCAAGCGAAGCCGAGGCCGAGGCCGAAGATGATACTACCGATGGAGACGAATATAGGGAGGGAGATGTCGACTAGTAGACAGTTAGCACATGCACACTAGAGTTCGAGCTGATGCAAGATAGGAATCCACTGACTTGTCAGCCCAGAAATTGAAGAGCTTACCACAGACACTGCTGTGGCTGTGGCCGTTCCAGACCACGGCCAGCCTGTTCGCGTAGCATACACCGAAGAGGTGTCGCCGCTGTTGCCAAAAGCAAGCGGTGCATCATTGGGCACGGAGGAGGTGACTGCAGGTGCTGTTCCAGTCGCAGCCGGAGTACCGTCACCTTCACTGTTGATTTGGCCGCCAGTCGAACTGATGGATTGCCAGGTACCGCTGGTACCGCTGTAGGTGTATTGTGACCCTGTCGAGTAGTCCGTGACATGGACAGACCTCACATACATGGTGAAGGGCCCCGCAGAGTAGTCGGTAACGCCTCCGGCCCATTGAATCGTGCCTTCAGGGTTGGATGAATCACCACCAGCCCAAGTACCTAACTTGACGTACATTGGAGTCTGGGGATACTGGCCGGCTTCTGCTTGGTCTTGGGTCATAACTCGAACTGTGGTGCCATCGATCGACCAAACAATCTGGTCGGCAGTCCAGTCGATGCTGTAGGTGTGGAACTCGTCATGGTTGTTGGGTGCTCCATGAAATGCTCCTCGGTTGTAGCCAGTTGTTGTGATGCCCTTCCCAAAGTAATTGCTCTGGGCTTGTGTATTATCCCCACCTATCCATTCCCAGTCGATCTCGTCAAGGCAATCAGACTGCAGAATAGCGGCGCTCACTATTCCCGTTCCTGGAGCTGCTTTCACCACATAGTCGACGTGACCGAACATTATGTACCAATTCGAAGAGAGGGTTGGAGCGTCGCCGTGCTGGGAGATCGTGAATGCTGCGCCGTCGGAAGTGTAGCTTACTGCTCCTGAGGCGCCGAATTCGCTCGAGGAGCCTGCTGTGAAATCAACGTCGACAGTCCTGCCGAGAGCAGGGTCTGCAGGACATCCACCTGAGCGCAGTCAGTCTTCGAGTCCATGAGCCGAGGAAGGGAAATAGACTCACTTTGTAGAAGAGGATTACATGACGAGTACGTCTGTGCTTCTGTGCGTGGTATGAGCGAGCAAAGGGTCAACGCAGTGAGTACTGAGCCCGCCAGTGTGGAATACATTTTGTACAGTGTAAAAATATCGAACGCCGGAACAATGCAGCAAAAACTGAGCAACCGGAAAATTGCTGGGAGGATCAAGCAAACTCAAGTTGATGGCATGACAGTAATACACAATAATTTGCACGAGCGGATATTCACTGAACAAGTAAAGAAGAGGATATTGAGGTTGTTACAGTAGAAAAAGGATCCATGGCCATGGTAACAAAAAGTAGTCACTGATGGTTTCCCGGGCGAGGAGGCTGGTAGACAAAGACGACGTCAGCTATCATGGACAACACCACAATCTCCTGACGCCAAAGCGGTAAACGGGAAACATTTTCGACCGATTCAGCTAGCGGGATATCTGATTATTGGCCATCACCACAGTGAGTGACTTCTATTCACAGAAAACAACAAGATGGACAATAGGATTGGAGAGATTGAGGGAGGCTGGAAGCCCAGCTCGAGGCTGACGAAACGGTCTTAGCCTTATCAGGAGTAGCGTCGAATATTGGACCCTGCAGCGGCGGCCGGAACGTGGGTGGCTGGAAGCCGTTCAATATTCCCGGCTTGGCAATTATCAAGCCACAGGAGCGCCAAGTGGCCACGTTCCCAGCCTCCCACTCGGCAGTTTCGTGCACGTGTCGCTCGCTGCCTCTCCGCTTCCTCCACCCTCAGCCTCGTTGTCCATAACGTGTCCCATTATCACGGGTCCAGCACGAATAACCCGTGGTTTCCCAAGTCTGCTTTGATTGGAATGATATACCGAGTAGTGGTGATGCTTCGAGGGCCGGCCCACGGCTCCATCCACCGGGTATTCTGGTGGCGTTGACATCGCCCTCAACCGATCTGGACTCATTCCTCCAGACTCTTGAGTCCTCCTTCATACTCGGAAATGCCGCTATACTCCTTCGGATACTTTTCGATTATCCGCTTCAGTTCTTTCATGTGGGATCGAGTCTCTGGAGTGAATTCCTCGTAGACATCCTCGAACATCGCACGGACCGGTGGTTTCTTGACTTTTTCTGCAGCTGAAAACTCTCGCAGGACTTCTTTGCGTATTGATGCCCTCGCTTCCTTTTCTTTGTCCTCGTCCCAGATACCCTTCTTTTCCATCCACTTGCGGAGCCGTGTAATGGGGTTGTCTCTTCGTTTCCACTCCTCTACCTCTCTTTTGGCTCGATAGGCGAAACTGTCGTCGCTAGTGCTGTGATGACTTACTCGGTAACTCATAGCTTCGACTAGGATGGGTTTGCAATCGCCTTCCAGAGCGCGTTTCCTAGCTTCCAACATGACCGCCCTCACGGCAAAGATATCGTTGCCATCCACCCGGATGGTATCAATACCGTACCCTAATCCTCGACTAGCGATGCCATCTCCCTTGTACTGTTCAATGCTCGCCGTTGAAATAGCAAAGCCATTGTTGCGACAGACAAATACAATGGGACAAGATTTGGTGGCGGCGATATTGAGTGCAGCGTGGAAATCCCCTTCACTTGCCGCGCCCTCTCCAAAGTAACAAGCGACGATCCTGGGGGACACATTCGGATTAATGAGCCGCTGCATTTTCAACGCATATGCGGCCCCAGCCGCCTGAGGGATCTGGGTCGCTAAAGGACTCGAAATCGTATGGACGTTGTGCTTTCCACTGCCATAATGGACAGGCATATTTCGTCCTTTGCCGTTATCGTCTTTGTTTGAAAACAATTGGCTCATCATCTCCTTCAGTGTGAAGCCTCGGTGCAAGAGCACCCCTTGCTCGCGATACTGCAGAAAACAAACATCCTCTGGTGTTAGTGCCGAGGCTGATCCTACGGCAATACCTTCTTCACCGGCAGAGACCATATAAAAGCTGAATCGTCCTTGCCGTTGTGCTTCAAACGCGATCAAATCCATAATGCTGACGGTCAACATAGTCCGATACCACTGAATGATTTCGTCGTCAGATGCAGATTGTGGATCTCTGGTGGTGTCCACAATATTACCGTCTGCATCCATTATCCTGTAAGTTGGCATCGCGTTCTCCTCGGCTGGATTTTTAAACTGCATAGTCGAGGTAAATTTACTCTTGAGAGCTCCTGGGAAATGAACTCTGGAGCCACAGAATCAGCAAACGAGACCGGAGACAACAATCGCGGGTGGAGAAACGTACGAATCCGATCCTGCTTTCTGTGCAGGGCCGGCAGACCAGGTATCGCTTGCCCATCGTATCCCTGATCTCCTCAGCAGTACCCCATGTTTGTATCTGCAGGATGCCGCTAAGGGCCTCAGAACAGCTCGACTTTTCATCTTCACTTGTCAAAAGCAAAGAGGCCACCCTAAAAGAATGGAAGAGATGCTTGATGCTATGAGGGTAGATTAAGAAGAGAAGGAAAAGTCGCGACAAGGACGACGAGGGAGCGTCGAGAGGGTGGAATAGGGACTTCGGTTATCCTCGGTCAGTGCTGGAGCAGAAGATGCCGGAGTCGGAGGAAGTTGAGGCTGTTTCGGGCCCGAGCGAACTAGACTGTTTTGGGAATTCAGATTCACGAAAATTGGTCTTAGCTGCGATTCGTTCTGTTGATTGAAGTTGCCCAGCGCCGATTACATTTGAGCTGGAACAAATGCTTCGCCCGCTCTACCGAAGGCCTCAGGGCCTACGAAGCTGCTGTGTCGGTTCGACATCGGCACAACGATTCCTTACTACGAGTTCGCTACGACGCCAGCAAGTCCCCAGTCAAAATGAACGCACAACTCACTTCGGCTTCGAGACCGTCTCAGAGACACAAAAGGAGGCAAGAGGTAGCGTCTAAATACAGGTTATATTGGACTACATGCTTACACCTTGTTAGTGGGTGCTGTTTTCTCATCCGTCGCGTCCTCATATGATACCATGAACGACCTTATGTCATTGGGCATCCACCGCCTCTGGAAGGACTATTTCGTCCGCAGCCTCAACCCGGGCAGCCGAACCAGCGAAAAGGGCTGGAATATTCTTGATGTAGCAGGAGGCACTGGCGACATTGCATTCCGCATGCTTGACCACGCTACCAATGTGAATTTCGACGTTAAAACAAAAGTCACCATCGCGGACATCAATCCAGACATGCTAGCTGAAGGACAGAAAAGAGCCCAGGAAACACCGTATTGGAATTCAGGGCGACTATCATTCATGGAGGGGAACGCCGAATCCATGCCTTCGATCGACTCGAATTCCATTGATCTCTACACGGTTGCCTTTGGGATCCGCAATTTCACCAATAAAGATGCTGCCATTCGCGAAGCATTTCGAGTCCTCAAACCAGGCGGAGTTTTCGCGTGTCTAGAGTTCAGCCATGTTAACAACTCACTGTTCAATACCGTCTACAAGAGATGGAGTTTTGGCGCTATACCTTTGATTGGTCAGTTGGTTGCTGGTGATCGGGACAGTTATCAGTACCTTGTTGAAAGCATCGAGCGATTCCCCACACAGGAGGAGTTTAAGTCGATGATCGAAGTGGCCGGCTTCGTCACACCGGGGAAAGGCTATGAAGACCTGACGGGAGGTATTGCCAGCATTCATCGAGGCGTGAAACCATTGTAAAATGGCTCTACTTGTCACCAGCCATTCAGACGGCGACATCGCAGCTATTGCGCGCATCCTCCTGAGAATTCGTGTCAACATAGCGGCAATACAATACGGCAATGCCTACCTCAAGAAGAGACGGATGTCAAGAAGGGCGCTCGGGTTCCTGGTTGACTGATCCTTCCAGCTGTCAGCCCCAGCCCTGGGAAACACAACGTCGACCTGGCGGTTGCCATGGATTGACGAACCACTTTCGAAGCGATAACACGAGAGGCAAATCAACCTCTGCAGTTCTGTCTGTGCTTCTTGTCTCGGTTGTGTACCGAGTATCAGACAGACCACCGATCCCCGAAGTCGCACCATATGGAAACAATCGCAGCAACTGAGGAGACCATGTTTCTTTCTCTACAGGCAAGTATTTCAAACAGGAAGTGCTGCTCGGTCGAGAACAGACACACTGAATGTACCATGCACATATGTACCATCACCATGTACTTTTATCTCGACTCCCAATGTGTGGATAACATTAGTGTTGGTCAAAGGCTTCTCTGGCCTGGTCAATTTATCAAGATACCGATCCCTCGAAGAGGCACCAAAATCTCATGCGCCTCCCGCACTTACGGTCCACCATTCCTCCCGCACAAGATTACCACCCATGATCAAGAGGAATGTTAGTACATATATACCCGGTACTTTATACAAGGTCCCACCTTGGTTACCTCGGTTGGGGCGGGCTTTTGTCACCCCACAATCCCGCGTATCTATTAATTTACTTTCTGGCTCCAGTAGCTGATCGCTGGGGCTTTCGCGGGCCTTGTAACCATTACGACCCTGTCACGCCTGTGTGACTTAGCAGGCCAATGACCGGGGGGACTTATCGACACTGTCCCACAATCATACTGGGTGTATTATGCGCTCTCTGTACGAGGTACCGAGTACAGTACCCGTACACATCAGCATTGGCCCGCAAACCTGCGGCTATCGACCGAGGCTGGCTGTGCACCCCCTCCCACCTTTTCGTCTGATTTTTTGACGTGAGACTGAGACCTATTCTTGGATCACTGGACTGGTCTAGTGCACCTATACCAAGCAGATCCTTCACCTAGTGAACGCATTACTCGTAGCGCGGCCATCACCGTTGGGAGTTCCGTTTAAGAATGTAAGGATTTGTTCACTGCGGAAACCATCTCTGAGCTCGACAGAATATAGAGAGTCAGCGAGAGAGAGAGAGAGAGAGCGCATGCGCGCGAAGAAGAAAAGACACGACGGCAAGAAATACTCCAACTGATCTTCAAGGGGACTAGGAATAGCGAACTGCTACTACGAATGCTACCTCGTACCTCCATGCAGACGTAAACTACATCATCACCACTCACTCACCCACCAACCAAGGCAACCAACACACCCTCCCGCACACCCGCACTTCACTCACCTCTTTCGCCCGCTGTCGCATTGTTGCGCCGTCGGGGATAGGCTTGTTTTACCATCTCAATCCCGACAAAGAGACCTTGGTATTATCATCGACAACCGGCCCATACCTTTGTGATACAAAACTCCAGCTTCCGCGCGAATCCGGTCAACCAGCGACACGACAATACTATACTCTCTTTGGCTTTTTCTTTCCACATAATTCTCACAATGGGCTGCGGATCGTCAAGTTTGAAGGGATCCGACATACCCAACCTCAACAGCCAACCTACGACGGTGACATCAGCACAGCAGATCAAAAAGATCGGGACCAACTTCTCCGACGTCGATTATGACCAAAACGCCCGTCAGCGGCGCATGACCGAGTATGCGCCGCATGAGCAACCTCCTCCGCGGATGAGGGAGGAGAGTCGCGACATTGGCGCGACCGAACAGAGCACGGTCGCCTGGGAGCAGTGGCAGCAGGAATATCAATACGACACCCGCCCTGATCGCCCGGGGGAGAACTCGGGTGTGTTGACGGGCCATCACGGTGGGAACGACAGGACCATGTCCGGCAGCGGGCCCGCGGATCGGAACAACAACAACAACAACAACAACAACAACAACAACAACAACAACAACAACAACAACAACAACAACAACAACAACGATGGAGATCTGAGACCGTACCAGACCATGGACGGTGGTGACTGGGATAACCAGGACGACCAGCGACAACAGAGACAACAGTCGTACGCCAACGGCGGCGGCATGCAGGACGGAGGAGGGGACCCGACGTCCGACATGGCCAAAAACGCATTCGCTGCCGCCAACGACCCGGCAAACCCCAACTATCAAGACGGCCAGAGGGGAGGAGGAGGACCGCGCTACTCGCAGGCCGAAGGGTACAATCCCAACAACAATAATGCTAATGATAACGACCACGACGACGGCGACGATCACCAACAACAGCAATACGATGGCTACGGTCGCAACATGTCCACGGCCTCGTACGCCAACGGCAACCCAGACATCCACGACGAAGGCGACGACACGGGCGAACCCAAAAAGGGGTGGTTCGGCCAAAAGTTCCAGTCCTTCCAGTCCTCGCGGCGCCAGTCGGAATACACCGACGAAGACCTGATCAAGTACACGGGCAAGGATAGGTCACAGCTGAGGGAGTGGGCCCAGAACAGGCCGGGCGTCGGGCCCAACCAGGAAGCTGGGAGGGTTGGGACCGACAACGGTCTTGCGGCGGGGGCAGCTTGGAATTAAAAAGGAGTAGAATAGGATAGGATAGGATAGAATAGGACAGGGCGCGGGTCTAGGAGTGGAAGTGGCAGTGCACGTCAAGGAATAGCATGCATGGCCTGGCCTGACATGGGTGATGAAGCCGCCGCAGCCGCCGCCGCCGCCCCTTCTCTCAACACGTAAAAAGTGATGGCTTCTTGAGTTTTTTGGGGAGAGAGGGGGGGGGGGCCTTGTGATCCGGGAAAACGGAAGATGGAGGACAACAAGAAGACGAGAGACGGATGAGGAGGAGGAGAAGGAGGAGCGCTGCGGCATATATATATTACTTTTCTTTCTCTGCTCTCTGATATCCGGCGTCTTGGTGTGATGGGTAAAAACAATGGAAAGAGGGGGAGGGAGGAAGACTCCTTGCTTGCATGCATGACATATCTTTCGCATCTTCTAAAAATCGAGAACAGAGAGAAAATGTATCTACATGGGTGTCTGCGGGTGGGTAGGTAGGTACCTAAGGTACATATGTAGGTATCTTTGCTATATACCTATCTATGCATGTGTCAATGTACTCGGTATGGATGTGGTATATGTCAAAAGCTGAGGTTTCATGTGCCCCCAAGTACTGGGACCACAGCTGGGTAGATATAAACATATACCTATGATGATGATGCGAGATTAGAGATGCAACCATTGGTGATATTGGACGGTGTCAGTACTGGTAGTGTATCACTGATAGAAATGTGTGATATGATAGATCAAGACTCAGAACATGACAATTGCTAGGTAGTCGTGGAAATGTATCATGATACAACGTATGGCTCTCTTTCTCTCTTTCTAACTTGGTCTCTCGGTTAGATCAAGACTTGTTCTATCGCGGCACTGTGGCCTCTATCAGAAGAGGAAACGACCACCGTCAGAACTCAAATGATCCAGGTGGCCTCACATCGACATCTCTCCGTCACCTGTGCACATCGCCGTTCTAAAGATATCATACTCGCGGCGCGAATCATCCAACCACTGCATAAACGCCGGCGCCAGCCTTTTTCGGTTTTCCAACACGCTCAATCTGCCATCATCTCACTGTGCCAACTCCACGCGCTCCTGACGTCTCGTCTCGTCGTTGATGAATGCGATGCTGAGGCAGGCATGGACCTCTCTTTCATCACACAGTTAGAGCACCTCGCATTGTGCCAGAACACAATTCCAGCACCAATCCGTGAGCTACACTCACTATCGTCATCGCAAAAGGTGCTCTTGGTCCCCTCTCGTCGTGCCTTTCCCTGTCACAGGGGAGAGAACCTGACTTGTTTGTCAGGTTAGGCCTTACATCGACCCTCTTCAAGGTTAGATCAACTTGGCCAGATGGTTACATCACACAACTTTACAAAAGTGTGTGGTGAGCTGTTCAACTGGTCGTCGGGACTTCCTTGGCCTTTCCTTTGTCGTTGTCCGGGTGTTGAATCGAGGTAGTGCTCGACGAACGAGCATCGTCTCTATACAGGTGATTTTGCTCAATATACTCGACAACTGGTGCTGGGATCAAGTATTGTACGCTCATGCCTCTCCTCAGGAAAAGTCTTATCTTTGTGCTGCTGACGTCATTCTGTATGAGTTGCTGGATAACGTGGATATTGTCACGGTAGTTTTGCAAACTGGCCAGGGCCTCGTCAATGTCGGTGCCGGATCTTTCAATGATAAAAGTGCCATATCTTCCGAGGATGTGATCCAAATCCTTCTCGCTCCAAATGCCTGGGGTGGACATGGTCTGGATCAGATCGGCGCCAGCGAGTAGCGATATCTTGACGGGTTTCCGGGTCCCGTTTCCAGTGTCAATGCCCTTCCGGATGACGTTGATTTCATTATCGAAATGATCCAAAACCTTTGCCGTTGGTTGGTATTCCTTCTTTTCAGCTTCCCACGGGTCAACCATGAGCCAGCTGGAGGCTTTGTCAATTGCGAGTTGGCACATGGCGACTCTAGGAGGAAATGTCAGCAATGGAGAGTACGTTACGCCGCAGCTCGGCTTGCATACCTGTGTTCCGCTGGAGCTAGGCCCTGCTTCTTGTAGGCGTCCGATACAGGAGACAGGTATCCGCCGATCATCTCGTAGTCCGTGTTGTGCTTGACGTAGTCGGCAGCCATAACAAACATACGCAGGTGTAGGAAGGTAATGGGTGAGAAGGAGCCGCAGGCAACCAGCAGAAGAGGTGTTTTCTCCGGGTCGTCCATCTTCTTCTTCAGGCGGGAGTCGGGGAAGCGGTATTCGTCCATCTCGTCGCCGTCACCAGTGATGGCTTGCAGAACGGTCGACCGTGTCTGAACGAAGGTGTTCTTTGTCCTTGGGAAGCCTCGACGGGAGTGCGTAGGAGACAGGAAGATGGCCGAGGGTAGAGGTGATTTGTCAGAGCGAGGGATACTACTCGTATCTATGAGGGTGGATGAGCCGGATAGCGGGGCTCTTGTGCCTTGCGTAGGTTTTGGAAGTGCAGCCAAAGACCTGCGCAAAGATCTGTTTATGATTGAATAGGATGGAAGGAAGTGAGTGTGAGGGCGACTCAGCATCTCAGGGCACCATTGCCCGGGTTGAGAGTTTTGTCGGAGGGGCGGCGTAGGCAGTGAGGTCCGGCTTCGGCTATATGGAGTGGAGGAAGTGAGGAGGAAAATAATAATCCCAAGGGACGAGCTGGAGATTTTGCCAGCAGCGAAAACGAGCTGATTTTCAAAGTGGGAGAAGGGTCTGGGTCGATCTCCGAACGGCCTGAGGAGCAGCTTTTCCCAGCCAGCCTAGCCTAGCAGCCTAGCCCGCCGGGCCTAGGTTGAGTAATTCCTCAATGTAAAAGCAGATGGAGAGTTTTTGCTAGTGCGCGGCCGGCTTTGGGCTTTGGAGAAGCGTTCGTTGACTTCTGCTGTGAGAAGTGGGGTGTATGAAGTGTGGCAGTGAGGATGGAGATGCGGAAGAGGAGATGGCGCAATTGTTGATACAAATACTGTAGTCACAGCAGAGACAAAAGATGGGTGTGAAGGAACCGCACTTGACAATCTGATTTCCATACTGTTTTCCACAGAACCATCATGATTACCAGGAGAAGTACAATATCTAGGATTAACATTTGCCATAATGATGGCGGGCGGCGCAGGGCAACGATGATGTTATGAGATGACGATGAATCAAGGTAGGAAATTTGCCTGCGACACATCAAATTACCCATCAGGCTATCAAAACCAGTGTAGGACAAGATGCTGGTTGTTGGGCATTCCCATTCGCCTCGCTCGCATGGATGAGCATGACTAAATCTGGCGTCATGCGAGTTTCCTGTGAGATGGACTTGAGCAGTTGGCCAAAGCGATCATGCATGACAAGAGTCGCCTCTATATGATGGGTTCTTCGAGGCATCACCTTCAGCTTCTGTAAACTGCTACACTGTTGGATGTAGGCCCAAGGCTGCTGGGAGGGGACGCTGGGGTTCACTCAGTTAGGCTGGATGGGAGGAAGGCGTCATCTTATATACTCTGAGACCCCCATAAGCAGGAGGGGCGACCGCCCCCCCTTCCCCCCGAAACTGATACGCACCCGTCGCCCAGTGGCTAAATAGGGCATGGTGTTGCGCTCTTACGCCAACGGGCTAAGGGCTACGGGCTGCGGGCTGCGGTTGGTTTGCATTACCGACCGACGTCGTGTTGGTCATTCTACCCAACTCAGACTCTGTTTCTACTATAGCACAAGATAATATCAGACTCATATTTCGTTTCGCTCATCTTGTTGTACGTTCTTTTCCCCATCTGGCCACCGTTAGCATCTTCCCGTCGCTGCAGATGGCGGGTTAACATGGCAAATCTGCCTGCACGCCCTTCAAATTCACACCTCATCCACGGACGTGCTCAAGGCCTTGTTCCATCTGATCAGCAACCTGCAACTGCAGCCTCCGCTGCAACCACCACCACTACCACCACCTCTGTAACTTCCTTGCATCCAGATTCTTCGAATAGCACCCGCAGATCCAGGTACTGCTCACTTGCCTCTATTTTCACTGCTTTGCCCTTCACCTGCGTTCGGCTGCTTGGCTCAAGAGGAATCCCTGTCTCATTCTCCGCCTCGCTCCTCACTTTGGTTGAACAAGAAACCACGGCCACTTTAAAACCTCACATATTTTTAAATGACCCGCACATTTACACTGTCCTTCTCTCTTGACCTCTGTTCAGATTACATTCTTGACATATTTTGACGAGATCCATTGCTTATGTCTCGCAGAGTCACTCGTTCATCTGCGAGGCTCGCTGCAGAGTCTGGCACCTCGACCACCTCACCTGTCGCTCCCTCCAACCCGTCGACGGCCATCTCCACGCCAAACCCCCCTACCGCCTCGTCGAGAAAGCGAAAGGCCCCGGCTCTCCGAGCATCTAGTCCTATCGATCGGTCTGAAGAGACGAGCCCCCCATCGACCTGTCGTGGAAAGAGACAAAAATTGACCGAGCAGGCCCAGCCTCAGCCAGCAATCGCACAGCCTGTCTCTCGGTCGACTCGGAGAAGAGCAGCGCAGAACGAGGTGGCGATGTCTAATAATGGGTACGCAAATGATTCAAGAGAATCCACTCCTAGCTACAGTGATCTGACATATTCAGTACCTCTTCAAAATACACTGAAGAGTCCGAGAAGCAGTTACCCTCGAAATCGGGTTCACGCCGGCAATCCAGCAGAAATAACAAGACCCAAGGTAGTTTGTGCTTCACAGGTGAACACGTCATTGGGACTGACCTTGACCACAGACCTCTCTCCTCCTGCCCCGTCCTCTCAGCCACGCAGACAGAGGAAGCGTTTAGCGAAGAAGGACCAAGATGTTCAGATGAAAGACGAGGAAGAAGACGAGAAACTTTCGAGTCAAGAAAAAGACACTTCGCCTCTTGTTCATCCCCCCAACAGCGATAGTAACGACGGGGACGATCATACCGATATGGATGAAGACGACGGCGCCGATCCCTTTTCCGCCGCCCTTTTCGGTGCTGGCCGCGGCCCTTCTTCAGGATTGTCGAGTACGTTACGAGCCTTGAGTGGAATGATGAGTGGCATGTCATCAAGATTGAGAGATATCCTGAACAACCTACGCCAGACGTCCAATCCCACGATGCAGATGGTGGCTCTAGAAGAGTTGTCGAACCTACTGCTGGTCTCAAACGAAGACAATCTCTCGGGCCAATTTTCGCCAGATCCCTACGTCAAAGAACTCGTGGCCTTGATGCAACCCAATCCCATCACGGGTGAGGAGAATCCCGAAATGATGCTGTTGGCTTGTCGTTGTATTGCCAATTTGATGGAGGCTTTACGAGGCTCGGTTGCCAACGTGGTGTATGGCGGCGCTGTGCCCGTCCTTTGTCAAAAGTTGCTTGATATTCAGTACATCGACGTCGCCGAGCAGGCCTTGAGCACGTTGTCTAAAGTCTCGATCGACTTCCCTGGATCGATTGTTCGCGAGGGCGGCTTGACCGCTTGTCTTCAATTCCTTGACTTTTTTGCCACCGGCACACAGCGCACTGCTGTTACCACTGCAGCCAATTGCTGTCGTAACATACCTCACGATTCATTCCCGGTCATTCGAGATGTTATGCCGATCCTTCTCAATGTCTTGTCCAGTCACGATCAGAAGGTTGTCGAGCAAGGCTGCTTGTGCGTCACTCGGGTTATCGATAGCTTCAAGCACAGTCCGGACAAGCTCGAGCAACTGGTTGATCCTCCCTTACTTCGAGCAATCCTGGGGCTTCTCCTGCCAGGTACTACGAACCTTATCGGGGCGAACATTCATACCGAGTTTCTCCGAGTGCTCGCGATAGTAGCACGAGCCAGTCCCCGACTCTCCGCAGAACTGTTGAAGATGAACGTCGTCGATACATTGTACCAGATCCTCACGGGGGTCTCGCCTCCGACTGAGACCGAAGACGCTGCCTCTAAAATTGATAGCGTTGTTATCATGCAAGCCTTGATACATAGACCCAGGGAACAGATCTACGAGACTCTGAACGTCATATGTGAACTCCTTCCTAGCCCAAACCTCTCCACTGAGTCGGATCTCGAAGTCTACGAAGATGTGGATGACTACATGTCCGATGAGGGCAACCAGCAACCAGCGCAGCAATCAAAGACGGAGAAAAGATTGGAGCTCCTGCAAGACTGCAAGCAAGAGACCCGCCGTTTTGCGACCATTCTCCTGCCAACGTTGACGGACGCTTACTCAAGTACGGTGAACCTGAGTGTCCGCCAGAAAGTACTTATCGCTCAGCTCAAGATCCTTTCCAACCTCGAAACTTCTGTCATCGAGGAAGCTCTACGCCCAGTACCATATGCATCATTCCTTGCGTCGATATTATCTCAAGAGGACCATCCAAGCTTGGTCATGTTTGCTCTCCAGGCGTCAGAGTTACTTTTCGAGAGACTCGAAGACATATATCAATACCAGTTTCACCGGGAAGGTGTCATTGGCGAAATCAAGAAGTTGGCTGATAGGCCCCTCGAAATCGATGTCAAATCTTCTAAAAGCAATAATGCGAACCGCCGCACCAGCGGTCTGGGAGACAACGGAGTTCAAACAATGGACGACGAGAAGCAGCGACAGGTGCGCCATGCCGTCGACGACGAAGATCATGAAGGCGAAGTCGACGAAGACGACGGCGAGGAAAATGAAGACGACGATCCAGACGACGAAGACAACGAAGAAATAAGAGATGACGACGAGGAAGATGAGGACGACGACATTGGAGTCCGACATCACCACGCTCATGATCTGGATGATTCTCAGAGTTCGGACTCTTCTGATGATGATGATGATGAGATGCCGTCCCCACTGGCCATTGCCGGAGTTGCTGATATGGTGGTCATGCGTGCGAAGAAGTTCTTGGAAAAATACGACACGCCAAAGGGCAGGGAGTTGAAGGAAAAGGCCTCGAAGATCCGTGCCGACCTCCACGAGCTGGCAAACGATATTGAGAATTTCTACGGTCAATCAAAGCAGGTGGAAACCGGAAACAACCTCTTCACCCGCCTGGCAAGTTATTTCGATGGTGATGCCTTGGAAAGTATCACAAGCTCCGAGTTGCTGGACTCCGGGATCATTCGCGTGCTTGTAAAAGTACTGTCTGAAGTCCCCACGACGCCCAGCACTGCCAGGGTACACTTTGTTGCAGCTTTCATGCAGACGACCTACAAAGCCAATGTGAAAACGAACTCTGCGACATCTACAGCGACGCCTTTCAGTGTGCTCATTCAAAAGTTGCAGGATCTTCTG